CATGTTTTTCAGGTTTTACTCTTGCATTAGTTCAAGGCCTAGAACATCATCAAATAGTGAGCCTACAATCTATATTCATGCCACCTCTCCCAAACATTTTGGAACCTACAGCTTCTGCTTATCGGTGTAAAACCCTGACTTTTCAAATCACTCATACAAAAAAGAATTTAAGACAGGTTTACTAAAATCAAGCTCAGCTGATATTTTGATGCCATGCCCAGACTTCAGTCAGCAGTTTAAAACCTGTAATGGTGTATTTCCAATCAGCTTTTAGGCAGCTACGAGATATCAAAGTCAGAGTATGTAGAGAATCTGTGAAGTCTCAGAGGATATGCACTTTGATCTGTTTAATATTTTATTAATTATGCTTTAATTGAAGATCTTTGCTTTTTCTTATTAAGATAAATCTGTGAATTATTCTTTAATGCACTAAATAAACTATGTTAGTATATTGTTAATGTTGGTGTCTTTAATGGAGAAAAAGTCAGAGGAGATAAAGTTACAATGTTCATACAGCACCCATAATTCAGGCAAGCTGAACACTTGTAGTTATATTAAATTACAGGATACACTGTTAAATTTAATACCACAGTTTATAGGTGCAATACAAGTGAAGAGATATAGTTACTGTGGAAACCCTTACTTTGGAGTTACTGAGTTCTGTTATCAATAACACCACATATAAGTACAAGACCTTTTATCCCAAAGCTTCTCAAAATTATTTAGATGAAATAAGCCAGGTATTGAATGGTGGTTGCAATGGATTTACCCCAAAACTTTCTATTTACACATGCAAAAACTGTGTACCATGATGAGGTTTGAGTGGATTACTCTTGTCTCTCAATTTATATGATGTGATTGGAAGTTCCCAGTTTGAGCTCTGCTCCTATCAGTGAGGGGAGCAATCACTGAAAAACAACAGCTATGTTTTTAGTAGCTTTTCCATTTTTTGAAAACACTAGCTGAAGGGAAATAAATCTGAGCTGTTCACACAGAGAACAGGACAAATCAGCCTCAGTGAATGCCACAAACCCACTGGATGGTTTGGGTATTGGAAGTCACCTGCATGCACAAAACCAAAGGAAATAACACCAATTTCCATTTCCATATTATGGGTTTAAGGGTAAACCCTGTATGTGCCAAAGAGAAAAGGATGGCTGTGGTTAAAAAGTCATCCAGATTCAGAGAGCAGACTAAAATACCAATCCAGATATGCTTCTAATTTCACAGAACTCACTGAGGAATCCAGAGTGTTTCTACAAACTATCTTACCTGCCTAGACAAAGCTGCAATACAAGAATGTAATGGAAATTTGATTAAAAAGATATTGTATTTAAAGTTTGGCCATGTTTGGTGGTTTTTTTTTTTTTTTTTTTTTTTTTTTTTTTTTTTGTTTTTTTTTTTTTTTTTTTTTTTTTTTTTTTTTTTTTTTTTTTTTTTTTTTGGCAGGTATTTAGGTGTGGTTTGGTTTTTTCTAAATATTGTTTTTACTCTTCTTATTGTCTGTTTTGTCTGTTTGTTTACAGAAACATTTCAGTATATAACTGATTTTGTAGATGAAAATTTGGGTCCAGCTCCCCTTTATCTTATTTTTTCTAATTTCTTATATCACATTCACAAGAGCAAGAAACCCTGATTTTGGAATTTGGTGTAGGCATCATGTAACTGACAAAGAGCATTTGCAGGGTAAAGATACATTTTCGAAGTTTTGTCTTGGCTATCAACAATTTACTTTTAATGAAAAGGTGTCTGTGTCTTACTTGAGTAGGACAAACAACCCTTAAAGCTCAGCATTTCCTTACATTTCAGGCAGATAAAATAATGTCAACATTTTAATACTGCTGCACCTATAGTCAAATACCTCAAGCAATACCTACTAAAAGCAGTGACCTGATTTTCAGAGTGCTTTTTTGGTCCCTGAGAAGTATTGGCTGTAACAGACGTGGCTGTAACAGCTCATGCAGACAGTGCAGTTCACTGTCGCAATGAAGTGTTGCATGTTATGAGAAAAAAGCAAAACATAAAGACCTCTCCAAAATGCAAACCGCAAAAATAAAATCAATCAGATTATTTCATACATTCTGTTTCTACATATATGGTACCACACATTCTGTAGTTTGATTTCTTTTGTTGGTCCAGAAAAAAATGCTGGGATAAATGTCTGCAAACTTCCAGCTCTCTTATTTTTTTTAAGTCAAGAGGTCTGCACAAATGTTCCCACAGGCTCTTACTTTATTTAAATGGCCAGTATTATGCCTTGCAAGGTCACACAAGTGCAAATGCACTGTATCTTCTGCCTTCAAGGATTAATGGGATTAAGATTGACATACTTGAGATAAAGATGTTTCATGCTTTTAAAAAAATCATATTATCCAATTACCTTGGCAATACCATTTTTCCAGTATCAGAATACCAAGAGAGAACATCACTTGCATGATTGTTTTAACTCTCATGAAAAAGGGGGATGAGCTAAATTCAGATCTAACAATGAACATTGTTTTTATTAAAATAGAAATATTATTATTCACACTATCAAAGTAATAATGATGCTGGAAACATTTCATT